ATTCTGCGCAAGCAAAAGTTTGGCCGTCTGATCATGACCTCGTCGGCGGCCGGCATCTACGGCAACTTTGGCCAGGCCAACTACTCGGCGGCCAAGCAGGCACTTGTTGGGTTCAGCAATCGCTGGCATATGAGGGCCACAAGTACAATATCACCAGCAATACCATTGCCCCGCTGGCGGCCTCGCGCATGACTGCGACGGTGATGCCGCAGGAGATCTTGGAGGCGCTGAAGCCCGAGTTTATTGCGCCTTTGGTCGGCTTCCTGACCCACGAGACTACCAAGCAGTCAGGCGGTCTGTATGAGATTGGCGCCGGTAAGATCACCGCGCACCGCTGGCAGGCCACGAGGGCGTGGTGTTCAAGGCTGACCAGTCGTTCACCCCGGCGGCCGTCAAGCAGCGGTTCCAGGAGATCGACGATTTCGACAACTCGCCGGTCTACTACCCGAGCTCCATGAAGGACAACGACTGGCTGGGCAAGCTGGAGATCGCCAAGGGCCTGGCTGCCAACGCCAAGGGCGATGAGCTGCGCTACGACGGCCAGGTCGCCGTGGTCACCGGCGCTGGCAACGGCTGGGCCGCGCGTACGCCAAAATGTTCGCCATTTTGGCGCCAAGGTCGTGGTCAACGATCTGGGCTTCGTCGAGCAGAACGGCAACAAGGTCCGTGCGGCCGATCTGGTCGTGGCCGACATCAAGAGCGCTGGCGGCGAGGCTGTCGCCAACTACGACTCGGTGGAGGATGGCGACAAGGTGGTGGCCACGGCCATTGAGGCGTTTGGGCGGATCGACATTCTGGTCAACAACGCCGGCATTCTGCGCGACAAGGCGTTCGTCAACGCAACCCCGCAGGACTGGGACCTGGTGTACCGCGTGCATCTGCGCGGCACCTACAAGGTCACCAAGGCCGCATGGCCATACATGGTCAAGCAAAAGTCCGGCTCCATCATCAACACCAACTCATCGGTGGGCATCTTCGGCAACTTCGGCCAGACCAACTACTCTGCGGCCAAGGCTGGCATCCAGGGCTTCACCAACACTCTGGCCATTGAGGGCGCCAAGTACGGCATCCGCGCCAACGCCGTCGCTCCCAACGCCGGCACTGCTATGACCGCCACCATCATGCCCGCCGAGGTCGTCGAGATGCTCAAGCCCGAATACGTCGCTCCCCTGGTCGGCTTCCTGGCGCACAAGGACACCGAGGCTACCGGCAAATTGTTCCAGGTTGGCTCGTGCTGGATTTCTGAGATCCGCCGCCAGCGCTCCGGTGGCGTCGGCTTCCCGCTGACCAAGCCGATCACCCCTGAGGCTATTGCCGGCAAGTGGAAGAAGATTGTCAACTTTGACGACGGCAAGGCCCACCATGTGGCCAACACCCGCCAGAGCTCCGCCGAACTACTGGAGAATGCCTCCAACACCGAGGAGGAGGGCTCAGTTGATCTCGAGGCTGCCTATTCCGCTATTGGCAAGCCCGAGAACTTTGACTACACCAAGCGCGACGTGATTCTGTACGCCCTGGGCATCGGCGCCAAGCGCACCGACCTGCCGCTGGTGTACGAGCATGCCGACAACTTCCAGACCTTCCCGACCTACGCTGTGATCCCGGCCTTCTTCACCCGCCTGGACATCACCGAGTTTTTGCCTGAGTTCAACCCGATGATGCTTCTGCACGGCGAGCAGTACATTGAGGTTTTCAACCCCCTGCCCACCGAGGGCCGTCTTGTGTGCACGTCGCAGCTGGTCGATATCCAGGACAAGGGCAAGGGCCTGACCTGCACCGCACGCCTGACCATGAAGGACAGCGCAACAACGTCCTGGCCATCTCCGAGTCCACCTCGTTCATCCGCGGCATCGGCGGCTTCTCCAAGAAGCCCGGTTTCGAGCCCCGTCAAGGGTCCTGAGCGGCCCCAGGCCGCCTTGGCCCGCCAAACACCAAGCCGGCACGCGCCCCCGACGCCCAGCTGTCGCAGAAGACCTCCGAGGAGCAGGCTGCCCATTTTACCGTCTGTCGGGGCGACTACAACCCCTTGCATATTGACGCCGAGATGTCCAAGCTCGGCGGCCTTCAAGACCCCGATTCTCCACGGCCTGTGCACCTTTGGTCATGCCGCGCGCCATGTCGTCGAATTGGCTGGCGTCGACCGCGTCAAAGCTGAAGAACGTCAAGGCCAGGTTCTCCGCTCCGGTTATTCCTGGCGAGACCCTCGAGACTAGCGTCTGGGCGGATAAGGATCCGAAGAAGGTTCTGTTCCAGGTCCGTGTGGTCGAGCGTGATGTTGTCGCCATCAGCAATGCTGCCGCTGAGTTCTCAGTGCCGGTTACTATTGCTAAGCAGTCCAAGCTGTAAAGAAGCCTTTTTTAGTTTAATTCCATTTCTATTTCATGTTTCCCCAAGGGACGTGATTTGCTCTAAGCATGATTCAAAGTGCCACCCATGTAGCATGCTTGGTATCTATTGCGATATACTCTTTCGCAGTAACCTGGAGGGAATGTTCATTCATAATTATGCGCCTGGCTAAAGTTCATTTCCCGCCTTTTCTCCTCTGGCGAAGTGGATTCGAGCTTTATAGGATAGACTGTCTACAAAAATGCAGAGCTCATAGTACCTGATATTACAATTAGCTAGTTTTAATCATTATTCTCTATTTTTCCTCCATATTAGCCACATCATCCGGTCCTGGATAGAACTCTTGCTTCTCTTTCTAATATCTTTCTGCTTAGTACTTTTACACACTCTTTCATACCTTTTAAATATATTTCTCTTCAAGCGTTTCAGTCCACTCTTCACTAAAGCTATAAAGCACGTAATTTTCTAACATTTTGCTGCTCTGGGATACATATAGAGAGGATGAACATTTACTTTTATTACAGAAAAAGAGATGCTGTGCATGTTGCGAAAGTCATGAATTCTACCTGAGCATTGTGATTTGTATACTATGCTATTTGAAGTCATCATTCCCAGTGTTCAGGATGGGCTTATGTCTATATACATATATTGATAGATTAACCCAAGCGGCACTGGTCTCGGGTATTCAGGAGTAGCTGCGCGAGAGTCATAGATGGCGCCATAAACCAGCGGCGAATACTTGAAATGATCATAGGAATCGCTATATACTCCGCACAATTAGAAATCCTGGGGCTAGCTCAGCTGTGGAGACACCGGGCCAGCATTTTTTGTCAAGCACAAACAGGGCTCCGGTAAGACCATCTAAAACCATTAATTTCAGCTTCGGGAAACCGTCAGATCTAGCAACACAGATAGTGAGACCCTGTGGGGGGTAAACTTGATCCACAAGCCGTTCGCTATGATATCGCGTACATGATGAGATTGGAGCTGGGCCGCAGAGAACTCAGGGAACAAATTGACAGCACCAGCAGCAACTGCAGGCATGGCCAAGCTGGTAATTGTTCAATGCGGGAGACTAGAAAGTGGGTAGCTATATTTACTGTAGAAGAGTCGCCAATCAGTGGTGGGTGGTCTATCACGATCAGACAGGCCAGACACCTGCCAATATACTGGACGAATTCCAAAGAAAGGTCGGTGCCCGCTGCCCAACCCAAGATGCTATCTATCGATTCAACAAACCTACACTCACAGACTCCAGTCCATACATCCTGCTTCAGCCAGATCTCATTCATAGCTGTAAGTAGGGGTGCCAACAAAGCCAGGGCACTGTTCTCGACAACTATATGCCTTGTACTCTGCTTCACACTGTTGCAACCAATGTATTTTTGTGGGATATCAACCTGCTGGAGCCATGGCCGACAACATCGAAAATCACCACCTGGTTGAAATTCCAGCAGGAGCACGTCGTAGAGTGCGGGTCGGACCCACGAGTGCCATTTCTTGCATACAGTGACCGGGGCTGCTAGCTCCCAGCACTCCCCATGCCACGACACCCTTCTGTCACTAAGGTGGGATAGATGATGCGGATGATGCGCCTCATTATATGGCCATTGGCAAGATTGGGTAGGTCCATGGACAACCAATGTAAATGTACTAACGTGGATTTGTGTGTGAAGTTGAGAAGATATGTGGTTTGTAAACGGCGTAGCATTCGTTTTATGTCACTTGCTAGTGAGGGGCTCTTGACAGATTCTTGATGTTCTCAGAGAACTGTGCGCACTCTGCAAGCCTCTGCCCCATCGCCTCTGTCTTCCTCAAAAGCTCCGCGTTCTCAGCGCGCTCTTTCTCTATGGCTGCCTCCAACTCACGTACTCTGCGTATGGACTCATCGAGGGTAGTCTCCAACTTGCTGATATTCTCAGTCATACCCTGCGTCCTGTCTTCCCATGCCTGCTGTTTCCTGTCAAACATGCGCTGCATCTCCTGTTGCGCCTCGGTCATTTGCAAAATCTGCTGGCGGGTCTCAATGCCGACCCGCTCGCTGCTGTCGAGAGTCTCGCGAGTCTTGATACACTCCTGCTTCCACTCGTTGCAGTCCGCCTGTGATTTGGCAAAGGAGCTTTGCATTTCAGCCAGCCTGCGCTGCAGCGCCTGCTGGTCGTTGACCAGCTCATCGATGCTTTGTTGTTTGGCGTTGAGCTCATGGAAAAGTCGCTGGTTCTCCTGGTGCTTTAAATCCAGGTCGTAGCGCAGCTCGGCAACTTCTTCTTCGGCATCCTGCAGATCCTCGCTCACCTGGTGCAGCTGCTGCTCGAATGCCAGCTTGGTACTGGCTATTTGCGTTGCGTGGCCTTGCTGCATCTGGTTCAGTATAGAAATGCTTTGCGACAGAACACTCGCTCCACCTTGAGTGGGCATCACTTGGCTCTGCAGATGCCGGATCGTGCGGTGCAATGGGAGCAGCTGGGCATGCGCGAGCTGTGCGCTTTGGAGAATACTCAGCGCCAGTTCACACTCGGTTGCCCGCGCCCACTGTCGCAGCAAAACCATGCGTAAAAGCGAATCGCTGTCTCCATTGTCCTCTGGCTCGCACACTTCCATATCCTCGGCCTCCTGAAGACCGTTAGCGGCGCGCATCTCGGTAATATCGATTGCAGCATCGGCACGGATGGGCGCAGTGCCGCTGGGCGTGGGTGACTTTGACGGATGTGGTGATGTGGAAGGGGTGGCTACATGTGCAGGTATCGAGTCGGTAGTGGTCGACCGTGCACGCACAAATATCTCCTGGATGTCCCGAAACATCGCCGAGCTTGACCCTTGAGCACTCCGCGCCCACAGCTGGACGCCCGATGCAGCCAGCCAGCTCATCCAGGCATCGGCAAACACCAGGTTTCCCTTGGCTACCTGGCCAACCATGTCAATGACAGGCTGAATGGCCCAATAATAAACCAGAATCGAGTACTGGTACCTGACGCTAGCCTTGTCAACCCGGGATGGTGTATCGGCAAACTCTGCCAACAATTTCTCTGAGCCGTTGGTACTAGGCGAGCGTTGAATGGCGAATGGGTCAAGTGGCTCGCCTGAAGCAGCCAGCGGCAGCAAAATACCGACTGCCTGGCTTGCGACCTGTACCAGATCCTTGGGCCACAGCTCAAACTCCTTCAGCCGGTGGTTGCTTAGCACAGCAACGATAAATCCAGCCACTAAAGAGCGTGACTCTTGGTCACAGTTGACAAACCACCCACAGCCGCGTTCGTCACCAGCTACACGCGGCCATGGAACGCCCTCCAACGCTGCCATGCTAGACGATTGCGGAACCGTGTATGCAGCGTCCTCAATGCCCGACAGAATGATGTCAAATATATCGGCGACCACAGCGACTGTGGTGGTACTCTTTGGCTCGTCATCGCTAGGTGGCTGCGGCATCGTCAGGCCGTTGACTAGCGGCGAGCCAGCGCCAGCAGGAGCAGCGAGAATCGGGTTTACTATGCGTAGCAGCGGGAACATGTAGCGGCGGTCGAGTCTAGCCAGCAGTGCCACGTGCTCGAGCGCCCCAGCCAGTCTAGCCGACTGGAAGAACCGCTCAGCGGCATTGCTCACAACAACCACCCTCACCAAGCCTGCAATAGCACCAAGAACCCGCAGATCCTCATCGACAGTAAGCGAGTTCTCAGCACCCTTGCAGTTTAGGCACAGGTCTGCCACCAGAACCAGCGTGCGGTCAATATGTGAATCGTCAAACAGCTTGGGACCAAGGCTCTCTGCGATAATCGTCAGTGGCGAGGGTGTTGTGCCATACGAATGCAGCAGTATCTGTGTCAGGATATGGAGCGCAGGTGCAGTGACCGAGGGCGACGGGGTACTCAGCAGTTTGATGATATGGCGGTTGAAGCGGCGCAGAGCGGGATTCGCGGTCATTGCGGCCAGGGAATCGTCAGGGTATTGTCCAAGCAGCTCAGCCAGCAGGCAGAGCAGCGGCACAGTTCTCTCCTGAGTAGCCTCGGTGGACTCGAGCGTCCGAGCAACAATGGCGTCGACCAGATCACTAATCCCCTTTGGCTGGGCTGAGCTGGTGGCCAGCAGCAGGCGAGTGCACTATACAAAAGTGACCATGAACTGAGTGAGCACAGACATCCTAAACTACCTAGGCCGGCTTTGCGGTTTTTGATACTTACGCTGTCTATGGCCGCGGGATTGCCGTGCACTAGACTTTTCAGCTTCTGCACGACAGCATTGCTGAGGGCGGATATTTCCGTATCAGGTAGCCACCTAGCCAGCACAATTTCCCTCAGGACATCTGCATGCAAAGGCTCCATGGCCATTGTCTCTGCGAGAGCTGTGGGAAGCGCATGCTGGAAAATGAGCCGGCCGGGGCACTCCTGGGGTCCCGAGTCAAACTGGTTTGCGAAATAAATGACACTGCTGTCAGATATGCGGGCGGCAGGAGACGCAGGTAGCCGCGCGCGTCGGGGCTGCTAGCGTACAGCGAGCAGAGGGTGTCCAAGGACGATGGCTGCAAGACATGTATCAGCTCTGAAAGTGAGTCGGCCGGCGCTGCTGTTTGCTGGACCATCCTGACCGAGACTGGGCTGATGTAGATGGTGTTTCGGGCAGAGTCCTCGTCGGAGCGGTGTATGGTACAGTAAAGAACTGAAGAGTGCAGAGGAGAGAACGGCAGCGACCAGCAAGTCGCTGCGCCAAGTCGGCTTCTACACTGTTTACTGAATGATCAAGAAACGGGCAGCGCTCGGATCAAGCTGAGTCACGTGCGATTCTCGGAAAAAGAGCAGGTGAGCCCTGATCCCCCTGCCTCACGCTTGGGCAGCAGGCTGTTTAAAATAATTCCACCACTTCCTTTCTCTAAATTTTCCAGCAGGTCCTCTCTGCAACTCCTACTTTCCTTTCTTTCGACTCTATCGATTCAGACATTAAAGCTACTGTTCATAATGCTTCCGGCGAAGGCGCAGAAAATCGATTTCAGCGTAAGTAGGCGGACAATTGACATTGGGCAAGTGATGGGTAAAGCGGGTGCTGACGTTGTACTAATGTATTCTGGGCTCTGTTAGAAGCTGACGGACGAGGAGAAGGCCCAGCTCCGCAAGTATGGACGGCTGCCGACAAACAAGAACGTGCTCACGCAGCGTGTAAAGGTAAGGCCGGGAAGATAGACGTAAAGCAGATGTGTGGTGGGGGCTATATGGCGTACTGCTCAAAAGAAAAAAGAGGGGGTTTAATGTAGGAGCGCAAATACTTTGACAGCGGAGACTACGCGCTGTCCAAGGCTGGCAAGACAGAGCAGACGGTGGGCGAGAAGCACCCATCGCCCG